TGGTGTGCTGGAGCCACCGGTGGGCCAGCAGGGGGGGAGTGGGAAAATGGCTGTGGCAGGTGGGGTGAAGGGGCAGTGAGTAGGAGCATGGAGCACAGCAATGACTGGATGGGAGTATGGTGCCTGCACCAGTGCACTGGGGCCAGCACTGGTGGGGTCCAGAGTGGGGCAGCAGAAGTGTGGGGTCCAGGCTGGCAGGGGCCTATGGAACTGGGCTGGATCCTCCTCTCTTTGCTTGAGCAGCGTAGCCCGGCTCCATTGAGCCCCTGTTGGCTCAGACCCTACACTCCTGGGCCGAAAATGCTGCTCAGCACAGGGGAAAGTGGCCCAGCCTCACCACCACCAGGCAGTTTTAGCTGCGTCTGCCTGGATCCCATGCTGTGCTAGGCTGTGGTGTAGCTCCTTCACCGCCACGTCTGTGCTGCCAAGTGCGGCAACAGTGACAGTGTGGAGCAGCCACAGGGTAGTTCACAAGTGGCAGTGAAGGAGCTGCACTGCAGCTTAGAGTGCCACAGTCTGCCAGCAGCCACAGCAAAACCTGCCCAGTGGCAGTGAGGGGGAGGGGCTGCTTCCCCCCACAGCAGTTTCTGCCCAGTTGCTGTTACTCAGCCTGGATGGATGAGCCTGGAACCATCACATGGCCTAGGCTCAGCAGCGGCAGCATGGGACAAACTGCTTCTCAGTGTGGGGGGGAAGCAGCCCCTCCTCCTGTTTCCACTGCTGGCGCTCCCTGGTGCAGCTGCTCGAAGCCCACATGGGGCTGCCTGTGCCTGCTCTCTGCAGCCACTGCTGCCCCACGAAGCAGTCCAGAGGCAGCACTGATGCAGCAGAGATGCAGGACAGCCCCACGTAGACTCTGGGAGGCTGCACCAGGAAGTGCTGGCCACAGGGGGAAGGGAGGGGCCACTTTTCCCCCACGCTGAGCAGCAGTTTGCTCTACACCCCCACTGCTCAGCCCAGATGGGCAGGCATGCTGGCGTGTGGGATTGGGACTGTGCACACGAGTCCTCTCCTGTACTGTGGGGCAGGGGTGGAGGGGAATGGGAACGAGTGGGCACCAGCGCTGGCAGGGCCCAGAGCAGGGTGGCAGGAGCGCGGGGTCCCAGCCGGCAGGGACTCTATGGAGCTGGGCCAGCTCCCCCCTCTCCCTGCTGGCACAGCCCAGCCCAGCTGCACAGACCCTTGCCAGCCTCCGCCCCGCATCCTGGTGGCCCACTCTGGCCCCTGCTGGCACGGCCCCCAGGACACCGGCACAGGGCCCGTGCTCCCACACGCCTGCTTGCTTTCACTGTCCCCACCCCTGCTGCTGATTTCCCCACTTTTCTGCCCGCCTGCTGGCCCCTTTGCACCACATGGCTCCCAGCTGCATGGCTGGAGTGTGGGACTCAGGAGGAGCTGGCCCGGCCCCAAGGACCGTTTTGTTTTAACTTCCATTTCAACAGGATGGTGTTTTGTTTGAGTTTCATTTCATTTCAAAAGCACTGTTCTGTTTCGTTTAATCAAAACTGTTTTGCTGTTTTGACATTGTTTTGACATTTTGCCCATAGGCTATAATGAAGAAGCATGAAACTGCCTATAACTTTGCCATTTCTTCCCTCATTCAGATGAAACCTGCAGGGATGGTAGCCCATTCTGAGGCCATGAATCCTGCCAAGTTTCAAGGAGATATGTGAGAGGTTTCTTGGAAACTGCTCCTGAGCTCAGTAACAGTCAAACCCCAAGGCAGAAAGCAGGCCCGTTCAAACAATGCTGCCTTTTTATGCTGTTTTTCCATCCCTCCCCAAGACCACTAGGATTGAAAGGGACCTCAGGGAAGGATCACAGTCACTGGCCAGCAACACTGTTAATATGAGAGCAGTCCTTCCCCCCTCTTCCTCCCCACCATTACTTTCTGTTTCCCTGTGGGCGAGCCCAGCTTGAGCTTTGAAACTTGAAACATTTCAAAACTTTCAAAATGTTTCAACTACCCTCGTTTCATTTTGAGGCTGTTTTGAAGCCCTTCGTTTCATTTCGATTTTGCTGTTTGAAGCTTGAAATGAGCCGAAACAGCATTGAAATGAAATAGCCGGTAAAATTTTGCACAGCCCTATAAAATAGGCATACTATCTAAGCAATACCATATTTAATGGCTTGTTATAAAAATGCAGTTACCAGGTCCCAAACCATACTACATTTTGTTGTGGCTATTTTCTACTATGCATAATTGGCTACACCTCATTTCCTCCCCCAAATGATCCAAATTATCCTGAATACAGTGGTAAATTACACATGTAAGAACACTAGCTGTGTGTAGATGAAACGAGGCATGTGTGCATGACACTTAAAGTGAGCTAAATGCCTTTGCACTGCTGTAATGGTGTCTGTGTTTGCATGCCTCAGCAGTGTATTGCGCATTCATTCCAGCTGCTGTAGGAAATTTGGCAGCGTAATGCACCTTAAATGACTTGGGGTGCAGCAAACTAAAACTCCTTGGAGCCCCCAGCTCCAAGCAGCTCCATGACTCTGCAGGAAGCCCTGCAGGCAGCCTGGCAGCAACGTGGGAAAGCAGGCCTAAGGAGAGCGGCAGGCCTGAACTTTTTTTCCTGCCCCCCCTGGAACCTGCCTGCCTGCCTGAGCTGTGCATGGGCCCGGTGTTTCCCTCCATGGCTGTGGTGTCCCCAGGACCGCCTGAGTTGGGTGACTGTGGTTGGGTGCTGCTGGGGGAGGAGCCGCTGCTGCCGTGGAGGGAAGCACCAGTCTCCTGGCTCCCAAGCCCAGGGGCTGCTCTGCCCACTGGCAGCTTGCCCTCCCTGGAGAGGCAGGTAAGTCAACAGGATGTGTCCACAACACAGGGGTTTAATCAGCCCTAAATTGAAGCGGTGTTTTTTAAAACCCATCGCTTCAATTTAGAGCCCTGATTTCATCTATACATGCCAACTGTGAGCTTAACTCTTGGGCATCTTCAGTGTCAGGAAACAATTCTTAATGGTGAAACCTGTTGAAATCTTCCAAGGAAGTGGAGAAAGCCCAGTTGCCTGAGTCATTTAAAAGTGCTTTGGATAAAAAATTATAGTATATATGTGATAAGGAACAATATTGGATTGCCGGGGTGTAAGAACTAGATAGTTCATAGATTTCATAGATGTTAGGGCTGGAAGGGACCTCAAAGATTGTCAAGTCCAGCCCCCTGCCCCAGGGGCATGAAGTCAGCTAGGGTCAAAGGATCCCATCAAGATAAGCATCCAAACATTTCTTGAATAAGTCCAGAGTAGGTGCCTGCACCACTTCTGCAGGGAGTCTATTCCAAGCCTTGGGGGCTTGGACAGTAAAGAAATTTTTCCTTATGTCCAGCCTAAAACGGCCTTGAAGGAGTTTATGACCATTAGTCCTTGTTATCCCTTGGGGTGCTCTGGTGAGCAGATGTTCCCCCAGATCGTGATGCACACCCCTTATATACTTACAGCCAGCCACCAGGTCCCCCCTGAGCCTGCGCTTCTCTAGGCTGAAGAGTCTCATGGCTCTCAGCCTCTCTTTATAAGGCCTATTCTCTTGCCCTCTGATCATGCGCATGGCTCTACTCTGGACTCTCTCAAGTTTCTCAACGTCATTCTTGAATTGTGGAGCCCAGAATTGGATGCAGTACTCCAGCTGCAGCCTCACCAAGGCCAAGTACAAGGGGAGAATGACGTCTTGGGATTTGCTTGAGAAGCATCTATGGATGCAAGCCAGAGTTTTGTTTGTTTTACCAGCTGTGACATTGCATTGGTGGCTTATGTTTATCTTGTGTTTAATCATGACCCCCAAGTCTCTTTTAGCCATGGTGCTAGTGAACGTAGCATTGCCAAGCCTATAAGTATGCTGTGGGATTTTTTTCCTCAAGGTGGAGTACCTTGCATTTATTGGTATTGAACGTCATCAAGATCAGGTTTGTATCCGTGCACTTACTAAGCTTATCCAAGTCGGCCTGGATCACTAGCCTGTTCTCAGGTGTGGACGCTATGCCCCAAAGTTTAGTGTCATCG